CCAAACCGAGCACCATCTCCTATACCGGATGGCGAACCTTTTAGAGACTGAGTGCCCAAACTGCAACCCAAAACCCACTTATGCATCGTCGAGTGCCGGGTGGGTGTGCCCCATTGGCTGGGTGTTGCCAGTTGGGTGGCCGTAGCTGCGGTGATAATGGCAGACTGGGTGGGACTAAAAAGTTCAATCAATCAATTCCAACTTTGCAAGATCTTTTTTTTCCCGTGAGAAGTTGAAATTGACTGATTGAACCTTTTTTTTTTTTTTTTGCACATGGTGGCGGAGGCCTTAAATGAAAAGGTTTTATAAAACCCAGCTGAAGGCCTAGGACTGGGGCGATGGTGTGTGTGCCCACAGAGAGGGCTCTGAGTGCTGCCTCTGGCACCCGTGCCATAGGTTTGCCTATATTTTCAGTTCAGAAAGAACAAATTCCTGTAACTAAAAAACAAGAGGCATTGAAATGAAAAATTATTGAGCATCTAGAACCACACAAAAACAACAGAATAAGGTTGCCTGCATTGAATCATGTTATAAAAAAACCATAGCTAGCACAGATATTAAAAGATGCCAGTACTATAGTATGAAATATAAGCACCACTTCAAAAAACTAACTGAGAAAACTAACAAACTAACTGCACAGCAGCAGTTACAACTGAAGCTCTTGGATGCAAAATCAACAAACAAGAAAAAAAAATCCAAAATGGAAGTCAGGTTAGAAAATAAGATCAGCACTCTGAGATCAGATGCAAGCAAGTTACAACAAATGAAAAGCTGAAGAACAAGAACACCATAGAATGCCCAATCCATAATAATAATAATAATAATAATAATAATAATAATAATAAAAAGTTGGAAGGGACCTTGGAGATCATCTAATCCAACCCCCTGCTCAGGCAGGAAACCCTATACCATTTTGGACAAATGGCTGTCCAGTCTCTTCTTAAAAACTTCCAGTGTTGGAGCATTCACCGCTTCTGGAGGCAGGTTGTTCCACTGGGTAATAATAATAATAATAACAACAAGAACAACAACAACCAGACTTAACAATTGTCAATAAAAAACACAAAAAAGTTTGGATAATGGACATGGCAGTGCCTGGAGACAGAATAGACGAGAAAGAACTGGAGAAGATAACAAAATACAAAGACCTACAAATAGAAATAGAAAGATTGTGGCAAAAGCAAGCAAGGGTAGTACCAATAGTCATAGGCGCCTTGGGTGCAATCCCAAAACAACTGGAGCACCACTTGAACACCATTGGCATTGACAAATTCTCTATTAGTCAATTGCAAAAGGCGGCCTTACTAGGAACTGCTTCCATCCTGCAATGATATCTGTAATATACCATCAAACATCCACATCTGCCTATCCCAGGTCCTTGTTAAGGACTCGATAGGTAGACAAAATGCCAAATCCAGTCTGAACATCTGGCTGACTGTGCAATGATCAATAATAATAATAACAACAACAACAGCACACAGTGGACCACCTGATAAGCTGCTGCAAGAAGATCGCACAGACTGATTACAAGCAGCAGCATGACAAAGTAGCAACAATGGTGCATTGGAAGATCTGCAAGAAATATCATTTGCCCGTAAGCAAGAACTGGTGGGATCATAAAATAGAGAAAGTCATAGAAAATGATAAAGTTAAACTGCTCTGGGACTTCAGAATTCAAACAGACAAGCACCTGTAACATACCATCCCGGACTTAACAATTGTCAATAAGAAAGACAAAAAAGTCTGGATAGTGGATGTGGCAGTTCCTGGAGACAGCAGAATAGACGAGAAAGAACTGGAGAAGATAACAAAATACAAAGACCTACAAATAAAAATAGAAAGACTGTGGCAAAAGCAAGCAAGGGTAATACCAATAGTAATAGGCGCCTTGGGTGCAATCCCAAAACATATGGAGTATGACTTGAACACCACTGGCATTGACAAATTCGCCATTAGTCAATTGCAAATGGCAGCCTTACTAGGAACCACTTCCATCCTGCGACGATATCTGTAATAACGTCAAACATCCACATCTGCCTATCCCAGGTCCTTGGTAAGGACTCGATAGGTAGACAAAATGCCAAATCCAATCTGAACATTTGGCTGACTATGCGATGATCAATAATAGTAATAGTAGTAGTAGTAATAATAATAATAATAATAATAATAATAATAATAATAATAATAATAGTAATGGAAGACCAACCTGAATGTGGCATGGATTGACTACAAAAAGGCATTTGACTCTCTGCCACATGACTGGATAATCAACAGGAGTCAGTAGAAACATCAGAAAATTTGTGCAAAGATCGATGGGACAATGGAAGACAGTTGCAGATCAATGGTGAGAGACTGGGAGAGGTTAATATCAAGAGAGGAATATTTCAAGGAGATTCATTGTCACCATTACTATTTGTTATTGCACTGTTTCCTTTGTCAACAATACTGAATAACTCAGGACATGGCTATCAAACATCAAAAACATCTGCCAGACTATCCCATCTCCTTTACATGGATGATCTGAAGCTGTATGGAAAAACATCATCTGAAATAGAATCGCTGCTCAACACTGCCCATATATATAGCCAAGATATTGTTATGGAGTTTGGCTTGAACAAATGTGCCACACTTACATCAAACAAGGAAAGGTAGTGAAAACTGAAGGAATCAAGATGCCCCACGAAAATAACATTAAGAGTCTGGATGAGGAAGATTACTACAAATACTTGGGTATCCTTCAAGCTGACAACATCAAGCACACTGAAGTCAAGAAAAAGATTAGAGGTGAATACATCAAGAGAGTAAAGAAGATCTTAAAGTCCAAACTCAATGGAGGAAATACCATAAAGGCAATCAACACCTGGGCAATCCTAGTCATTAGAACACAGCTGGAATAGTGGATTGGACTCAAGTAGAACTAAAAGCAATGGATAGGCAGACCAGAAAAATAATGACAATGAATCATGCCCTTCATCCACGCAGTGACATTGATAGACTTTATCTACCAAGGCAAATAGGTGGGCGTGGAATGCTACAAGTACATCAGCTGGTTGAAGAAGAAAAAATGGCTTTGGAAGAATATCTGAAGAACAATGATGAAGATGCACTGAAATTAGTATATCAGGAAGGCTTACTGACTACTGGAGAGACCAAACTGGCCTACAAGAAAGACCAAATGAAGAACAGAATAGAGGCATGGGAAGACAAGCACTACATGGCCAATACATGAAAAAAATAGCTGGGAAAGCAGATAATAATAAAACCTGGCAATGGCTAAGAGCAGGAAAATTAAAGAAAGAGACCGAGGGACTAATTCTGGCTGCACAAGACCAAGCCTTAAGGACAAATGCATACAAAGTCAAAATTGAGAAGACAGCAACAGACAGTATGTGCCGCCTATGCAAAGAAGCTGAAGAAACAGTGGACCACTTGGTAAGCTGTTGCAATAAGATTGCACAGACTGATTACAAGCAGCGGCATGACAAAGTAGCAACAATGGTGCATTGGAAGATCTGCAAAAAATATCATTTGCCTGTAAGCAAAAACTGGTGGTATCATAAAATAGAGAAAGTCATAGAAAAAGATAAAATTAAACTGCTCTGGGACTTCAGAATTCAAACAGACAAGCACCTGCAACATAACACCCCAGACTTAACAATTGTTGATAAGACAAAAAAGTCTGGATAGTGGATGTGGCAGTGCCTGAAGACAGCAGAATAGAAGAGAAAGAACTGGAGAAGATAACAAAATACAAAGACCTACAAATAGAAATAGAAAGACTGTGGCAAAAGCAAGCAAGGGTAGTACCAATAGTCATAGGCGCCTTGGGAGCAATCCCAAAACAACTGGAGCACCACTTGAACACCATTGGCATTGACAAATTCGCTATTAGTCAATGCCAATGGAACTGGCCTTACTAGGAACTGCTTCCATCCTGCGACGATATCTGTAATACATCAAACATCCACATCTGCCTATCCCAGGTCCTGGGTAAGGACTCGATAGGTAGACAGAATGCCAAATTCAGTCTGAACATCTGGCTGACTGTGCGATGATCAATAATAATAATAATTTTATTGTCATTTTGAATGTACACCAATCGGCATACATCAAAATGAAATTCGTTATATACAGCTCTCAAAGGGTCACTACCTCTGATATACACTCCTTGTTCATGGCCAGCTCAAGTTTAGATCGTCCATTTTAGTCTCTAAGAAGTGAACAACGGCAAATAGGACAGATGGAAATGGAGCTCCATGTGGATTAGCCCTCAAATTAGCTTGTATTCCTGCATGACAACCTCGCCTCCTTTCTTTTTTCTGATCCTGACTCTTCCACCTTTCCCTAAAAGAGGCCTTGCTTCTTTTCGCCCCTGGAGCATGCTGCCGCCGCTATCAACTCCTCCAAGAGCCTCTCTTCCTCTGGGCCTGCCGACAGCCTCATCCAGTTCCTTCATTCCATACGACCCGGGACCTCTCCTCCTCTGCCTCCTTTGGAAACAGCCCTACAGACAAGGAAGATCAATGAAACATTGGAAATTATAAATCAGCAGATAGATAGGCAACCCAAAGAAATACGAGAATGTAGCTTGAATAAAGGAGGAGGTGAAGGAAAAAATGCTGAAATGAAGGAACTTGTAATATCAGCAGAAATGCTGGAGAAAAGAGCAAGAAAGATAAAGAAGTGATCAATACTAGGTGAAGATGAACTGCATGGTTTTTGGTTGAAACTCTGACCAATCTGTGTATGTGTGTGTGAATTTTCTTTGAAATTATGGTTTGATGTGAGTTTTATAGATTATTCCATAATTCTTTCCATTGTTCTATGGTATCTGCTTCTTTGAAAATTTTCATCCATTTTCCCACACATATTTTGTTTGTGTTCTGTTTCTCTGTCATATTAGGTAAATGTTTATATATAAGTATCCTAACTGATACTGCTGATTTTGTATGAATTTCACATTTTTTCCTTAATATCCCTGTTTCCTTTTTGAGATCTGAGTTTATCTTTCGGGCTATTTGTAAATACATCAACCATGATATATCCCAGCTTTCATTAAATAGTTCTTGCTATTTGCTTGTTGAATCTCCAACATGCAGAGCTTTTGAGAGAGAACCTTCAGTAGCTAAAGTAATATTTGTTGTTGTTTATTTGTATTTTCTCAGATTCTGGGATATTTCTCATCTATAACAGTGGTCTGCAGAGCTGCTTGGAAACAAAGGACTCTTTGGTGAAAATTTCTAAGATCTGTAATGCAAGTCTTCATGCTCAGAAGTGGAAATGGGTTTCCAGGAATCGGCTTTTCAACATCGGAAACATGCAGTGCTTGGGAGTCTCTTGGAAATCTGCAAACAGCAGTGCCACCACCCATGCATTGGCCACTTATGAATGTGACCGTGAATCCGTTAACATGCGGTGGAATTGTCGGAGTCTAGGGGACCAGCTTTCCCAGTATTTGAGCTCGAGGTTGGGGAACTGGTCATTGACACCAGCTGAGAGAGGTGACCAGGCTCATGGAGGCCAATGGAAGATCTATGGCCAGGATGAAGATTTGTGCTCCAGGCCATACTCTGGTAAAACCCACATTAGAAGACTGAAAATTAATGATGTTGTCTCTTATCATTGCAAATCTCATAATTAAAATTTTATTCTGCACTATCCAAATTTAATATTTTTAGATCTTTTTATTAAAATTATTAGCAAAAATATTAACAGATATCAATGACTCTCATGATTACGACTAATAGTAGTACATCTTATGAGTTCAAGTTATGTAATTTAGCATTTTTCTTCCAATAGGCAACCAGCTAGCTGCCTTTGCATCTTGAAAGTAGAGCAAGATGGTGATAGGCAGCATTAAACTTTGATTGCCCAAGCATTATCAGATCATTGCTATAGCAATTAAAGGGTAATTTCTGGGCTTCTGGATGTTCCCAAAATCCCTTAATTTTAGCCCTGCAGGAATTGGGAAGTTATTGGGAATTGCAGTTCAGCAATATAGGCAGCCAATCCCCAGTATCTGACTTAGATGATAATCTCCTACTTAATTTTTTTAGTAAAGGTAATCTGTATTGGTTGTTATAACAAAATATTATTAGTTTATATAGTAAATTCTTACATGAGGAAAGTTGCTTTCAGTCCGCTTTGGTCCTATTCACTTTAGTTATCTAATTATGAGCAATATTTGTTGATAGTTCATTATAAAACCTTAGAAAGCAAATATAGAAAAGTTGCCATTTCTCTGATCATAGATTTCCTAAGAAAACTAAATACAAAACAATACAATCTCCTGCCTGTTTTCATTCATTTTTCAAACTGAAATGAAAGGAGAATTCATCATCAATTCCAACTATTCTCTTCAACAGAGATTTGAATTAAATTAAGAATGTTTGTTCCTAAATTCTACCAATCATATTATAAATCTGTTGAAATAATACTTTAAAAATATTGGCTACCTTGTTATATTCTAATTTTGATAGTGTACCATAGATACACTAAGATTCTTACTATTCATTTCATAGGTTTCATCTATTGTCCCCAAATCAACTTGAATAAATAAATTGTACAATAGTATTAGAAATTTTTACTGTTTTCCAAAGTACATATAAAGATTCAATCTGCTATTTCAAGATTTTTACTACAATTTAGATTTCCATTTTTTCAAAGGATGGATGAATTCCAAAGCCATCAACCACCATTCATTCTGAATATCTCTTACCTTTCAAAAATGAGCTTCAGCTTGTATGAGAAACAGCTGTATGATGAAGTAGTGGTTTCTGCTCTGATTTCAGTCCAGGCTCAGCTATTATACTAAATTCAGTCTAAATAGAATGTTCTAAATAGAATATTCAGAATAGAATATTCAACGAATAATTTGATTTCAAATGATCTGAATGCTACTAATTTATCTGAATGGTGGGACTTGTGAGTAATATAGTCAGGATCCAAAACTTTGTCAGCAGACCTTTGTGCATATTTATAGTTTTACAGTTGCACAGAATTAGTTATTTGACAATGCCAAGATGTATAGCTTGTATTAGAACAGTAAAATAAAGTTTCTCTTAAGATAAATAGAAGATTAACAATACTTCATGAAGTCTCTGACACCAAAAAGTGAACCCAGAAATTGCAAATTCACTAGTCTAAATATTTTCCAAAACAAATGTATAAATGCAGATTTATTTAGTTTGGATTTACTTTCTCTCAGTCTAGGATTTGGGCAATCCTAATGCAGAATTTTAAAACTGATTTTGCAGTATGAAAAATGAATAAGCAAAACAAATTTGGATAAGAGCATTTTAGTAATATGTATGGAATTATAACTTATAATTGATAAGACAGATATGTATATTTTTTTCCTAAAGAATATATGGAGAATCTTCATTGCCCTTCATTGTCTTTGAATATAGAGAACTATGTTTCAAAGAATCAATCTCATATAATTGCATTTGTATTAATCTACTGTGATCTATAATCCACCTATTAACACAAACATAGTTTTGTGGCATCTTAGTCTAACCAATTTTTATCACATATAACAGTAATTAAACTGGATAATTTTTGAAGTTCCTTAAAAGATTGTTTTCAGAAAAGATGAACATGGGAAGCTTTCTGAGAACTATTAATTGTTCAGATACTGCTAAATCATAAACAGAATTATAGGAGTTACTTTTCCAGTATTTAGCTATCACCATTCTTGACAGGAATAAATATTTTTTTCTTAATTAAGTAGTATGTTTGCTAACACAACCAGGGATTGAGTTGATTTTTTTCAGCAAATTTTCTTTCAATCAACCAATAAATCCTGAATTCTCTAAATGTATTGTTCTCCACTTGATGCAGAATTTATAGATTATGTTATTGGAGAGTGTGTGGGGAGACTATTGTGGGGGGGGGGTGTCATGTATGGATTGGAACAATCTTCTAGCAATTAAAAAAGTGTTGGATTAATTTGAAATTAGACAGCGTAGGCTGATTATAGCTATCCATAAATGAATTATAGAATCTTAAACTGGATCACAAACTGTTGGTTGCCAAACCTTTTGTTCAAAATTATAAACATCTCCTTTTTCTAGCAGAGGACAAATATGAGTTATAGTGTTCTTCTCTTTTTCAGAAATTTACACTATTCAAGGCAACTCTCATGGAAAGCCCTGCACCATCCCCTTCAAGTACGATAATCTGTGGTTTCATGACTGTACAAATATGGGACGTGGAGATGGTCATCTCTGGTGTGCCACCACACAGGATTATGGCAAAGATGAGAGATGGGGATTCTGCCCCATTAAGAGTAAGCTGCTTCCGGTTTTACAGAATTGTGGACGTATGACTCCCTAGGCCAGGGGTAGGCAACCTTGGCTCTTTTATGACTCGTGGACTTCAACTGGCTCAGGAATTCTGGGAGTTGAAATCCACGAGTCATAAAAGAGCCAAGGCTGTCTACCCCTGCCCTAGGCTAATACTTTCAAAAGAATAAAGTGACTATGTGCAGTTGAAGTTAAATGGGTTCTTCTTCTTCTTCTTCTTTTTTTTTTTTTGCTAGATTCCACAAGAGTTTTTGTGGTTTCTCTTTTTCACAGCTAAGCTTCTAAGACTAGGGCTATGATTTCCTGAATAATTCTGCTACTGAAAAATCTTTATAGATTTTTCCTGGTTCTTTTTATTACTCTTTCCTCTCACTTTCCTGTCAACTTAACTACCTACATTATTTTCCTATACTTCCTGCCTTTAATTGCTACTTTGTAAATAGGTTCAGATTATATGTATATATTTTTCTCTAGCAGTTGCTTTCTTTTCCTGCATTATATGTCTGATTCTTCCCCTTAATAACTAGAACAATGAAATACATTTGATGCAGATTTAGTGGAATGGTCTAAGTACTTTTGTCATGGAACACGTAGAAAAGTGGTATTTATATATACACAGGATGTGTATATAAATGCATATGTATATACAGATAAACTTATGACCACAGTTCAGCCCAAAATTTCCATTGCTAAAACAAGACAGTTGTTAAGTGAGTTGCACCCAATTTTACAATCTTTTCCACAAAGTTGTTAAATGAATCACAGCAGTTGTTAAGTGAACCATGCAGCTGTTAAGGAAATCTGGCTTCCTTCATTATTTTGTCAGAAACCAGCATGGAAGGTTACGAATGGTTATCACATGACCTGAGATACTGCAACTGTCATATATACATGCCCAAATTTTGATCACATGACCATGGGGATGCTATAAAGGTAGTAAGTGTGAAAACTAGTCATAAGTCTCTTTTTTCAGTGCCATTGTAACATTGAATGGTCACTAGGTGAATGATTGTAAGTCAAGGGATACCTATAATTGTTATTTATTACTGCAATTGGAAATGGAAACATGGTTGCTAATCGAAGCAGCCACTAAATGAAACTGCAACTGTGCTTACAATCTTATTTCAATTTTCCATTGGTTTACAGACTTGCCAAGGTGATAAATGTGAAGATTGGTTACTTTTTAATCACTATTCCAACTGAACTCTTATTGTAGTCCTTACTTAATGATCATTTGTTCAGCAACTGTTCTGAGTCATGACAATATTGAATAAATGGTAATTATATTACCAGTCCTCACAGTTACAACCATTGCAGCATCTCTACCGTCACATGATCAAAATTTGGGCACTTGGCAGAATGCATTTATGATCACAGCATACAACTCTTGTCACCCATCAATCTCCCTCCCATTCCTGTCCTTTTGGCTGCCTTGCACTCTGTCACCCCTGCCTCTCTGCTGCCCTTCTGCTTCCCACTTCACTGCCCATCCCCCTCCTTCCTTTAGGTCTCCTGAGGTGTCATGTCACAGAGGCCAGCAGCATCTTTAGCAGGGACGAAGGTCAGCTGGATGCAGCTGGGAGTGGCAAGCAAATAGTGGATGGTGATAGAGGAGTGCAAGGTGGCCAAAAGGGCAGAGATGAGGGGATGAAGGGGGGGAGTTGGAGGCAAGCGTGGTAGGAGGGAAGAGCCTGTCTGCCGAAGGATGCTCATTGGGCCTGGCAGAGGAAAATGCAGTAGGACAGAGACAGCAATTCCTGCAAGCCAGGAGAAGCATGTAGTTCTTGCCTAAAAATGGCACCAGTTCTTGCTTAATGACTATAACCAGGATTACCAAAACAATTCCTAAGCAGTGCAGGCCCATGAAGTTTTCCCTAATCACCCCTTTGCTTAATGACAGACGTTCTGGGACAAATTAGGGTTGTTAAGCAAGGACTACCTATATGTAGGATGCTAAGAAAAAGACACAGGCATGTCTTGAGCAGAGGTTTGAAGCTGCAGGACACAGCTTGACAAACTCTGAGTTTATTCCTTCTTATATACTTTTTACATACATAGACTTTGCCATTAACTGCTGACATTTTACATTTAGAAGTTTAACCTTTAGCTGTTGACATAAAGTAATTGAAAAATTCCTTCATATAAGCAATTATTTTCTAGTAACATATTACACGGTCAGAGATCAGGTAAAGACAAATACAGGTAGATGAAAGACAGGAAGAGATAAAGATGGGAAGAGATAAGGGAAGGAACTAAGCATATTATCTGTTTAGGTAGGTAAGATATTAAATCAAGAGGGGGTGATCTTTTGACTGCTTCCTTGGGACAAAGGGTATCAAAAGGTTATGAGGTTTGTGGGGGGGGGGGAAGCATGGCAGTTTGCTGCGTGTGCAAATTCCTCCACAACTCACTTTCCTTTATTTTATTAATGAAGACATTTTAAGCAGGAGTAGTTAGTGGGTCTTAGCTTAGTATGGAAGATTGCAAGACATCTTATTAAGTAAAGAAAAAAGACATTGAAATAAACAACAACAGCTGATAAGGATAGCAACTATTATAATGAGATATTGAACAATCTTTCCAAGAAGGCCAATGGGAAGCCATGACCATAGAGCACTCCACCAATTTCCTAAGGTATCAATTTTTAAATCAGAAGCCAAATTATGTAAAACATTAATTTGCTTTTGAATAACGCCAGATTGATCAGAAACATTGAAATAACAAATAAACTGAAGCTGGGACATACACAGGTATAAGACAGGTAGAGAGTAGATTTTCCATGTCATATGATTCAGAAATACAAAAGTCTGTCACTTGTGTTACATTAGCTAATTGCACCCAAATATTATATTTCATCCGTGATTCTAAAGGATGAGATGGAAGAGCTTGAGCCCCCACACAGCAATTAAGAAGGAAAGAGAGGCAAAGAATGACTAAGGAATTTGCAGTCAAAACCACAAATGTGGCAGCGCATAAATTCTCTGGTGTAGGTTCTTTTCCCTGTTGCCTCAGAATCTCCTGCACTTTGGATGTTAGGTTCTTCACATCGCCCCAGGTTGTTGGTCAACTGCGATGGTGAGAGCAAAAGGGACGTTGTGCTATCTGAAGAATCACCTGCTTCATTTCCAGTATTGGGTTCTGGACTTGATGCCATGACATCTTTGGCTGGTTGCACACACTGGGCTGGAATCCAGAGAGGGCCTGTAGGAGCAAGCACAGAGCATAGCCTCGCCCCCAAGTTAGTAAGGGAATTGGATCTAACCAGGTTTTATCAGACAATTGCCGATAACGTACCAATGGATTAGGAAGCACAGCTTTCTGCTGAAAATGACGCTGGTAGGCAGTAGTTTTTTGAAAAGAAATATTTAGCTGATTTAAAGTTATTAGGACTTTATTGACTCGATTATTTATCCATGCCAAATTAGGTACCCTTGATCCCTCCTTTTTTATTTGTTTATGAAGGCAGTCCTTAAAGGACCGATACATATGTGAGAAACAAAAGATAGCTGCTGTAAAGTTAAAAACAAAGCCATAAGATTGGGGTCGATCCTGGGCATGATGTAAGCACCTGTAAGATTAAAAATAAGTTGGCACACATAATGAGAATCAGAGATTAGGTTAAAAGTCTGTTGAGAAAAGGTGTGGAAAGCTAAAATAGCAGCAGATAATTCTGAGCGTTGTGATGAGGATTGCACTGCAGTGTAGGCAGATGATATAAAATACAGCCTATATAGTCAGCATTGAAGAGATAAGTTATTCTGAAAATAAAATTGAAAATCAAATTTTGGGATAGGAATAACAATATTAATTAAATCAGTCCCATTTCAAGGACAAGCTTGATTGTGTCCTAAGGTTATTTCAGCAACAGCCTGGATAAAAGATGAAACATTTTGGGATGGGATAAGTAAAGCCATTCAATACAATATATTTTTTGCGCTTCTAACACAGCTAATATTCCTGTAAGTATCTTACTAGTAAGAAATATCAAAAGTGTTAAGTGACAATTCCTATGTGGAATTCTGTCCACAAATTGAGTACTCAAGTACTTAATTTGCTCAACTGTGGTAAATGCTGCAAGTGGAACTACAAATGAGATCTCCAGGTTGTTTTCCTTTGGTCAATAAGTTAAATTCCAAGTTAATCAAAGATGCAAACAAATTTCTATTAAGTAGGTTAAATATTTACAAAACTTAAGTTTTGCTAGCTGAAATTGCAAGAGCGGGGATTAAATTTCATCTCCATTCGCAAACTGGAATTCTTAGCAGAGAAGGAAAAAAAAAGTTTAAAACGAACAGTTTTCTCCCCCCCCCTCTTTCTGTCTCTCTTGCTCTTAAAGCAACACAGCCAGTTGAAAAACAAAAGAGACAGGAAAAGTTTTTTGTTACAAACTTTTCACCACTAAAAATTAGTTTTCTCTCCTTGACATGCATTTTCCATGCAAACACTTACTATTACTTTTCAATTACAACAATAAAATCTGCAGTTTTTTATTTCTTTTACAACCTGGGAGAGAGAGGGTTGGGGTGGGGTTTGAGGGCTAACACACAGACTCAGGTATCAACAAATTAATTCATTCATTTTCATTCTAACTGCTTGTATAAATAATTCCACATACAAACATTTCATTTTATACTTTCTCCAGGCAAACTATTTATTTTTAAATAAGGTCTTTTTGTATTGTTGTTATCAGAGAGGGTTTGACCCTCTTCCAAGTCTTGGAAATAACACAGAACAACACAGACAAACATATATATATACAAATACCAATAAAACAACATTGATTTAGACATATGGCTTGTCCTGCAAAAAGCGAGAAAAATCATGAGATGATTCCAACCAAATATGTTTTGTTTTTGTTTTTTAAATAGGGCCCTTTTAATCATCTCCTATTTTTCTCACCATTCCAAGCCCAAGCATAATGTTCTGGGTGGCCACACGCACATATACACATATACACACATATACATAAACAAAAGACACATCAATTTGGGGTTTGAGGCTAAAACAGGCCTCCCCTTTTAATTAAAAAGGAGGAGAACATTTATGGTTACTTCCAACTTATCCCAGCAATTTCAAAAGACATTGGGGAAAGACTAAAAGGAATATTGAAGGTGTGAAGGGTGAGGGAAATGTAGCAGCCTCCTCTCCTTACCTCTTGACAAAAGGGAATTGAATAGAGCCAGATTAAAAGGGGAAAAAAGAAAAAAAAACTTGCTTTCAGTTCTTTGAATTTTCTTTTCTTTTTCTTCCGTGGCTTTAGTTGTTATCAGATAAACTAGCCAGCCGGAGGTTTACAAAATTTTTCAGTGTTGTCTTGTTAAAGATTATTTATACTTCTACACATCAACACAAAGCACCATCAGACATTGTCTGACAGGGTTAAACTTAACAGCTACTTGAAGTTTCAAAACATCCCAATTGTTCAAAACACATTGCAGAGGAGTACATTTTAATTTAATTTGTTTCTTTAAATTCCTCTGACCATTCCCCATATATATTTTTTCTATTTCAAGATTGTTCCTCTAATATTTTCCTTATGGGGGTGTATGGTGGCTGTAAGGAGGCAAAAGAATTAGCCTCTTCAGAAGGAGCTGAAAATCCAATTAAAGATGCTTTCGGAGGCACAGTTTTTACTTTGATCCTAATCAGGTGTGGGGCTTGTAGTTAATTGTTACCCTGCTGAAGCATCTGAGCCAAATTTTTCCACTGCTTGATTGCATTGATGTAATACCTGTACTGGAGCCCAAGATTCAAGATGTAAAGTATGCCCTATTTTTTTCCCAATCTTGTAACCTAAGCGTCCAGCGCTTAGGATATCAAGAGGAATGTTTCCCTACCTCACCCATCAGCTTCCTTTTGTCTGCATCAGGCGTTTTCATGCCTGATGTGTGTAACAGGAATCTGAGTTCCTTTGCTGGTGCTGAGATAGATTGCAACCCTTACTTACCACTGAGGGGTCCCGTAGGACGAAAGTGCACTTAGGGGTCTATTCCAGACGCTGGTAAGTAAGTTGGCTGTTGCTCCCTCGGAAGGGGGGGCTGTCCCAGTTGCTCCATGGGAGGGCTGCCCCACGTTGGGCGCCAGATGTAGGATGCTAAGAAAAAGACACAGGCATGTCTTGAGCAGAGGTTTGAAGCTGCAGGACACAGCTTGACAAACTCTGAGTTTATTCCTTCTTATATACTTTTTACATACATAGACTTTGCCATTAACTGCTGACATTTTACATTTAGAAGTTTAACCTTTAGCTGTTGACATAAAGTAATTGAAAAATTCCTTCATATAAGCAATTATTTTCTAGTAACATATTACATGGTCAGAGATCAGGTAAAGACAAATACAGGTAGATGAAAGACAGGAAGAGATAAAGATGGGAAGAGATAAGGGAAGGAACTAAGCATATTATCTGTTTAGGTAGGTAAGATATTAAATCAAGAGGGGGTGATCTTTTGACTGCTTCCTTGGGACAAAGGGTATCAAAAGGTTATGAGGTTTGTGGGGGGGGGGAAGCATGGCAGTTTGCTGCGCGTGCAAATTCCTCCACACCTATATGTCTTATGATAACAATGAAAGCTTAATATCAAATTCAGCATTCAAGAAATGTATCTTTCTATGCAGTTGCTGCAATCTTTATGAAAACTAGATTGCATTTTGTCTTCTCAATCCACCTTGCATTCTCTTCTTTTCTTCTTTCACATGATTATTCCCTAGGCAACCCTGGCCACACAACTTAAAAAGCTGTAGAATGAATGTATAACTGGTTTGAATCCATTTGCTAACTAAGGTGACGACTTATTGTGTTAACGTGAAGTAACTTCCTTTTTCTCCTGCCCTCGTAGGCAATGACTGTGATACATTTTGGGATAGAGACCAACTCACCAATAGCTGCTATCAGTTTAACTTCCAGTCCACCCTGTCTTGGCAGGAGGCCGGAAAGAGCTGTGAGCAGCAGGGAGCCAGCTTGCTTAGTATCACTGCAATTCATGAACAGACCTACATCAATGGTAAGCATTGGAAATCTATATTTGAAACAGGTTCTCTTAGTAAGCGGGATGGAAAAATGTTTTGCTCTGCAGACTGATATGTTTACCATTCTTTCACCTATATGACTAATATAAGCTTTCCAATAGTGGTTGTTTGTTGGGTGTTCTTCAGTATTTTGATAGAATGAATATCAATACAGAGAAATTATCATTATATACCTATATATAAAATATTTGACTATGCAATATGAATATTGTAAAAGAAAGCTGTTCAGTGCAAATGGATGGCTCAGAAGAGAAGAGATTCAGAGAAGACTAGTTTATGCTTGGTGTGTAATGGGTAATTGACTATTACCATGGTTTAACAAGAATGTGTAGAAAAGAATGTTGGTGGGTGCCATTATGGCTTAGGACAGTGATGGCGAACCTTTTAGAGACTGAGTACCCAAAAACCACCCCGCCCCCACCTTACACCCCCGTGCCACCCCTTGCCGTGCTCCGCCCCCTGCTCTGCTCACCCGCAGGGCCAGCCACCACTTCCACAGCCCGCTGACTGCCCAGGTGGCCCAGCAGTGCCATGGCAGCTACACCTGCGCCCTGTAGCATCAACTGCATGCAATGGGGTGTAAGGGCATAGTCTTGTCTCTGCTGCCTGGCTGCCATATCCTTGGCTCTGTGCTGGCTGGGCTCAGGGGCAACTCTCCTTCGGGGGGCCTGCTGATGAAAAGGGGGCCACAGGGGGAAGTGGGGCTGAGGCAATGGTGCAGGTGCCCGCAGAGAGGGCTCTAAGTGCCACATCTGGCACGCATGCCATAGGTTCGCCACCACTGGCTTAGGATGACTTACGGTAGAAGATCTGATTCTATGACTTACGGTAGAAGATCTGATTCTGTGACTTTCTATCTTTCTCTGACTACACCAGGACTGCTGACAGGATATGGTTCCACACTCTGGATTGGGCTTAATGATTTGGACCTCAATGGGGGCTGGCAGTGGTCTGATAATTCCCCCTTGAAGTTCCTCAATTGGGAAAATGGTAAGCTGGACCCAGAGACTGAAAACTGAATGATATTATACACAAATAAAAATAATACATATTTTGTATGATTAGCGTATCAATGGATCTTGTTTACTAACTGTATAGATATCTAATATATATATGTATGTATGTATGTATGTATGTATGTATGTATGTATGTAGGTCTTTGGTTGTTCAGGTTTTCTCCCGCGTAAAATTGGAAGTGTCTTGGCGACGTTTCGATGAAGTCCCATTCGTCATCTTCAGGCTGGCGTTTTCAGCTTCGTGCTTCGAGCAGCAATGTGTGTGGGTTCTTAGCTGTTCTTCCTTTTAACTGCCAGGGGGGGTATGAACTGATTGGGTGGGAGCTGGGCTGTGTTCTGATTGGGTGGAGGTGTGTTCTGAATGGTTAGGGGCTTGGCTGTGCTCTGATTGGCTGGGGGAGTGTTCTGTTTGGTTGTGCTCAGGTTAGTCTGAGTTGCAGAGGGTTTAAGATTTTGGGCTGCCTTGCTATTTTCTGGCTTCACGTTCGTGGTCGTGCCTCCTCTTCATGGAGGGTGTCAGTTTGCTTCATGTATGGATTGGAGGTGTTTAAAGTGGCTAATGATGCAGCTGTGGTCTGGCTTCTGGTTTGTGGTTGTGCCTCGTCATCGGTGTGGCTTTGGGTTTGTTTTTTGCGTGGATGTGTGGTGGTGACATCCTGTGTGGTTTTTGTGAGTGTGGGTCTGGTATCATTTTTTCTGTTAGGGAGTCGTTTGTCAATAAGGGTGGGTTTCCAAATGCTGGTAGGCGGGAGGTCATATCCACTTGTTTCATGCTGTGTTGGTCGGTGTTTTTCACTAGATGGAATTCTATGATTATCGTTATTAAAATTTTTCACTTTGGCAATGGTTCTGGTATGTAAAGTCAATTAATGTCCTGGATGCTTTAAGGTGTTGACCCTTGAAGATGTTGGTTCTTCTTTTTTGACTGAGTTCTTATGTTCTTCAATGTGTGCACTTATTCTTCTGTTGGTTTGTCCGATGTATGTGGTGGGACAAGTGGTGCATGGGATTTCGTACACTCCTTGATTTTCTAATTCAATTTTATCTTTGGGGTTTCTAAGGATGGTGGATATTTTTCTGTTTGTGCAGAATGCTGTTTTGATGTTGTGTTTATGGAGGATCTTACTGATTCTGTCTGTGGTGCCTTTATGTATGGGAGGAGGGCTTTGCCGTTTTCTTGTTCTTTGTCTTGGATTTTAGTGGGGGTTTCTTTTTGGATTAGGTTTGTAATCTTATTTCGATGGAATCCATTGGATGTTAGTACATTGGTGAGAGTGTGTAGTTCGGGTTTTAGGTGTTGTTCGTCAGCTAAGCGTTTTGTTCTGGAGATGAGTGTCTTGGCTACAGAATTGATCTGTGCTGGGTGGTGGTGTGAGAGAGCGTGCAGATAGCGGTTTGTGTGTGTTTTCTTATGGTAGATGGTGTGTCCTAGGGAGCCATTGGATTTATTGTAGACTAAGACATCCAGGAAGGGAAGTTGGTTGTTAGCTTCTGTTTCCATGGGATAACTGCTACTTTTGGGGTAGGGTGTTGAGGTGTCGTGAGAAGTTGTCGCAGTTTTCTTTCCATGTGGCCAGATTATGAAGGTGTCGTCTACGTATCTGAGCCAGAGTTTGGGTTTGTGATCCGATTTTTCTAGAGCTTGGGTTTCAAAGTGTTCCATGTAGAGGTTGGCAATGACAGGTGAGAGGGGTGATCCCATGGGTGCTCTTCTGTTTGTTTGTATTTTTGTCCATTATAGATGAAGTATGTGTTGGATAGGCAGTGGTTGGTCAGATCTAAGATGTGTTTGGGGGGGTTATATTTGTTTTGACTAGCTGTCAAGGCTTCTTTGATAGGCACTTGGGTGAAGAGGGATATGACATCGAAGCTCACTAGTAGGTCGCTGGGCTGTAAGCTTTGTTTCTTTATGATCTCTATAAACTGGAATGAGTTTTTTACGTTTTGTGAGGTGAGGAGTTCGCAGAGGGCTGTAGTTGTTTGGCGGGAAAGAAATTTGGCTAGGTTTTGAGAGCTGAGCCTATGGAGCTGACTATCGGTCGAGTGGTTCCTTCTTTGTGTATCTTGGGGAGGACCATAGTGTTTGGTGCATCTGGATGATTTCTCTCTGGGAAGATTCTTTGCTGGATCTCCTTCGCTAATGGGGGAGGCTTTTATCTTGGTTCTGGTGGGTTTTTCCAGGTAGGTGGTGGGATCTGTATTTAGGGGTTTGTATGTGGAGTCTTGGAGTAGGTTGGTTAATTTGGTTTGGTAGTCAGATGTGTTCATAACCACCGTGGCGTTGCCCTTGTCTGCTGGTAGGATTATTATGCTGTTGTCTTCTTTCAGGTTACATAGTGCTGTCTGTTCTCAAAATACAGTTCACCATGGAAACAGAAGCTAACAACCAACTTCCCTTCCTGGATGTCTTAGTCTACAAGAAATCCAATGGCTCCCTAGGACACACCATCTACCAGAAGAAAAAACACACACAAACCGCTATCTGCACGCTCTCTCACACCACCACCCAGCACAGATCAACTCTGTAGCCAAGACACTCATCTCCAGAACAAAACGCTTAGCTGACGAACAACACCTAAAACCCGAACTACACACTCTCACCAATGTACTAACATCAAATGGATTCCATAGAAATAAGATTACAAAACTAATCCAAAAAGAAACCCCCACTAAAATCCAAGACAAAGAACAAGAAAACGGCAAAGCCCTCCTCCCATACATAAAAGGCACCACAGACAGAATCAGTAAGATCCTCCATAAACACAACATCAAAACAGCATCTGCACAAACAGAAAAATATCCACCATCCTTAGAAACCCCAAAGATAAAATGGAATTAGAAAATCAAGGAGTATACGAAATCCCAGGCACCACTTGTCCCACCACATACATCGGACAAACCAACAGAAGAATAAGTGCACGCATTGAAGAAACATAAAAAAGGAAAACTCAGTCAAAACAAAAGAGGACACAACATCTTCACCCTGGTCCACACCTTAAAGCTACAGGACATGAAATTGACTTTAAAAATAACCAGAACCATGTGCCTAAAAGTGAACATTTTAATAACAGAATAATCGCAAGAGAAGCCATTGAGATAGAAAAACGCCCACCACACAGAATGTGAAAAAGCGAGATGATACCTCCCGCCTACCAGCCATTTGTAAACCCGCCATAATTTAAAAACGACTCCCTAACACAAAAAATGATACCAGACCCACACTCACAAAAACCACACAGGATGTCACCACCAAACATCCACGCAAAAAACAAACCCAAAGCCACACTGACTATGAGGCACGACTACAAACCAGAAGCCAGACCACAGCTGCATCATTAGCCACTTAAACCCCCCCAATCCATACATGAAGCAAACTGACACCCTCCATGAAGAGGAAGCACGACCACGAACGCGAAGCCAAGGAATGGCAGGGCAGCCCAAAATCTTGAATCCCTCTGCAACTCAGACTAAACTGAGCACAACCAAACAGAACACTCCCCCAGCCAATCAGAGCACAGCCAACCCCCCAGCCAATCAGAGCACAGCCAACCCCCCCAGCCAATCAGAGCACAGCCAAGCCCCAACCAATCAGAACACACCTCCACCCCAATGCAGCACAACAGCAACGCTCCCACCCAATCGGTTCTACCTTCCACTGGACCAGTTAAAAGCGAAGAAAAGTAAAAGAAACAGCCAAGACCACACAATGCCTGCTCGAGCACACGAAGCTGAATAGCACCAGCTGAAGATGCGACGAGAAATGGACTTCATACGGAAACGCGCCAAGACACTTCCAAATTTTACGTGGGGAGAAGGAAAACACGAAACAACCAAAAGACCTACATACAATACCGCACGAAGAAAACCTCAGAAAACAAATATATATATATTATATATATATATATTATAGATATATTTGTTTCTGAGCGTTTTCGCGGGTATTTGTTATATAGGTCTTTGGTTGTTCGGGTTTTCTCCCGCGTAAATTGGAAGTGTCTTGGCGACGTTTCGACGAAGTCCCATTCGTCATCTTCAGGCTGGTGTTTTCAGCTTCGTGCTTCGAGCAGCAATGTGTGGTCTTAGCTGTTTCTTCCTTTTAACTGCCAGTGGGGGTATGAACTGATTGGGTGGGAGCTTGGCTGTGTTCTGATTGGGTGGAGGTGTGTTCTGACTGGTTAGGGGCTTGGCTGTGCTCTGATGGGCTGGGGGAGTGTTCTGTTTGGTTGTGCTCAGGTTAGTCTGAGTTGCAGAGGGGTTTAAGATTTTGGGGTTAGGGAGTCGTTTGTCAATAAGGGCAGGTTTCCAAATGGCTGGTAGGCGGGAGGTATCATCTCGATTGTTCATGCTGTGTGGGCGTTTTTCTATCTCGATGGCTTCTCTGATTATTCTGTTATTAAAATGTTCACTTTTGGCAATGGTTCTGGTATTTTTAAAGTCAATTTCGTGTCCTGTGGCTTTAAGGTGTTGGACCAGGGAAGAGGTTGGTTCCTCTTTTTTGACTGAGTTCTTATGTTCTTCAATGCGTGCACTTATTCTTCTGTTGGTTTGTCCGATGTATGTGGGGGGACAAGTGGTGCATGGATTCGTATACTCCTTGATTTCTAATTCAATTTTATCTTTGGGTTTCTAAGGAGGTGGATATATTTTTCTGTTTGTGCAGGAATGCGTTGATGTTGTGTTATGAAGGATCTTACTGATTCTGTCTGTGTGACTTTTATGTATGAGGAGGAGGCTTGCCGTTTTTCTGTTCTTTGTCTTGGATTTGGTGGGGTTTCTTTTGGATTAGGTTTGTAATCTTAGTTCTATGGAATCCATTGGATGTTAGTACATTGGTGAGAGTGTGTCGTTCGGGTTTTAGGTGTTGTTCGTCAGCTAAGCGTTTTGTTCTGGAGATGAGTGTCTTGGCTACAGAGTTGATCTGTGCTGGGTGGTGGTGTGAGAGAGTGTGCAGATAGCAGTTTGTGTGTGTTTTCTTCTGGTAGATGGTGTGTCCTAGGAGCCAT